TAAGACTTTCAGGAATGCATGAAGATGCGAGGAGTACAAGTCGGGGAAATTCCGGTAGTGATCAACGTGTGGGGATGACCCGAAATTGAAAGAATGTACCTTTCTTCCCGTCTTCCGTTGTTCCTGGACTCGAAGCTCCACGGCCTGAAATGGCACAACTTTATCTGCGGAGCTGTATAGATAGAGCTGAGGACATGGAGGATGGTTTTCGTATAGGTTATCGGTAAACCTCTTCAGCCTCCTGAGAGAGAAAGGGAAACCGGTGAGAATCTTTGTTACATTCTTAAACCGACATGAACAAGCCCTGCCTGAATATGAGGATTGGCAAGTTTTCTGTTGGGCGTTACAGGCTCTTTTGCTTGCACGAGCTCTTGTTAAAGAAGCACAAGAAGAAACAGATGGGCAACTAGTGTGGAGCTTACATGTTTATGTCAGGGAAGTGTAGGAAGATAGAGAAGAACTTCTCTAGAGACGACAGCATCATAGTCTCGATTCTTAGAGGCCCCGTCTTTCGCAGGTTTGATTTGGTGGCGTCATTCTCGGGATTGTTTGGTTCTGGGTTTACCGTGGAGCTACGTTTCTTCAATATAGCAGCCGTAAAACCAGCTGCCCATATCTGAAAAGGTATGTTATCTGAGAAGACTTGCCAATCAAAAGACAACATTGTGTATATGGAATCCTCAATAACGACACAGCTAAAGTTTCTTCCTTTTGGAAATTTAGTGCCATGACCATGAGATGATCTAATTCTACCGAGGAAGAACGAAGCTATATCTAATTTGCAATATATCTATCACAACCCGAGAAATGAATTCTGCCCAGAGAACCCAGCCATCGCTACCAATAACAACCCGGGAAGCCTATCCTTAAGATATTAACAACCTTCTTTTTCTCTAAACTCAGGCCAAACCTCCTAAAGCGATGGCCTTTCCGAAGTTTCATTACAAGAGAATCAATCAATTGATGAAACAACTTGAGAAGAACATTCTTTCAGTTTTGGTATCGTAGAGGAGAGACGTTTGAGAACGAACCTTGGGGTTAAGGGGATCTGCTCCTCCCGAGTCGATGATACATCCCTTAATCTTTTCTGCTAAATCAGTCCTGCCTCTGAAACTCTCGAGCAAGGCACCATAGCTGCCAATAGCCATCCACAATGAGAACCAGAATAACCGATAAAACTAGATACAGTATCACTATTCCATTGCCAGAATTATCTATAATGAATCCTACTGAGAAGGCAAAAACGGTGTAAAGGATTTGCTTCATCGACCTACACAAGCCAACCAGTGTTGCTGAAACTGTGGAAAACCAAGCACCGTTCTCCACCATCGTCTTCTTCCTCCGACACCCATTTGACCAGTTCGTTCCCCAGTTCCGTTAACCGCCGTTCAAGCCGCCGTCCAAGATCTAGCCAGAGCAAATCCCTGACGTCGACTGTGAAAGTAACGGCGTTAATCCCCATGGAGTTGTACCACTCCACGTATCTCCTTAGGTGCTTCGTTTTCGCTCCTAACCAACCAAGGAGGACCACCGTCGTCTCTCTCTTGTTCCCGCCGAAATACGCCGCATTTCCTCCGTCGACGACACGCTTCGGGGCTCGGTTCCAGACCCATAAGGCGTCGTTCGAGCCGGGTCGGAACGGGTTGCTGTGGACGGTGGAGTTCTCGAGATGAAACGTTGACGTTAGGGACATGAGAGATTTGAAGAAATTCGCATTCGGTGAAATGGGTGATGACGGAGAAGCCGGAGAAAGCGAATAGCACAGAGTACGAGCGGGGGAGATGGCGGATTCTCGGGAAACGCCATTGTATCTGGGAAGACAGAGCTGACCAGGGAATCTGAGATAATGGCTCTCTGGTTTCACACTCGCTTTGCTGAGAAGGAGATGACGATTCAGAGCGGAAGTACTGAAGATTCGAACGGTTGTTTCCATGGCGGAATTTTGACGATCCGGGTAAATGGGGGGAGAGGGGAAAAGGGTTCTCAGGAGAAATTCTTCAACTCACCATTGGAAATTCAGGATTTTGGAGTCGAAGTTGGACACGTATACATGAAAATCACTGGTTTCCATTGAGATGATCAGTAATGGAGAGGGTCTTCGATAAATATCAGATATTCCAGCCAAAGTTTTAGATTTCGAAAGGGAAACCGAACAAGGGAATTTTCTCGACGAGGAAGACGAAAATTTTCCAAACCCGCATACACGGGGAACCAAAATAAAAAAGCAATTTTTTCCCAAAAAAAGAGAGAAAAGAACCCTCTGCCTGGAACAGCGGATTTGCTTGTCTGGTCCTGACGTTTCCACAACTCTCGAGTTCACACGAGGCACAACAGCCACAGAGAAATCTCGAGAAAGTTCGAATCTTTTCTATTCTCTACTCGAGGGATGTAAAAAGAATATCTTCGTTGCATTTGTTCAGCTTCCCTCGTTCTTCGTGAATCCAAGGTTATTCGGTTCGGACAATGTCGGCTTCGTGTGCTGCAGCACCTTCTGTCAGAACAGAGTTCTTCACATCATCATATAAAAGATCAAACTTTCCTGCAAGATTGTGTCAAACCAGTAAGAACCCAAGACCATAGATCAAGTTTTCACGAGTTTATGCCTGAGATGTAACATTTGGGTTGTCTGATTTCGCTTTGCGTGAAGAAAATAAGCATGAGATTAGCAGAAGAGATTTTGCAGTGAGAGGAATTCTGGCTTCTGGAGTATCTGTCATGGGTGCTTCTTCCTCACCTCCAGCTGCTGAGTCTGTTCAAGGTGAAGAACAAGCTTGATCCTGTAATCACTGTCCAATTCTCTTGTTTTTATTCGAAAATTGATTACTTTCTTTACTGTCTCAGCCGAATCTTTGAGGTTGCCATTCAAGCCGGAAGGGTATGACTATTGGAGATGGAGGGGTCACAAGATCCATTATGTGGTTCAAGGGGAAGGCTTCCCAGTTGTTCTTATACATGGATTTGGTGCTTCTGTCTTCCATTGGAGGTGCCCCCATTGCCCTCTCTTCCATTTCCATGGATTACAGCTTTTGAACCTTCTTCCTTCACCGCCCGCAGGTACAACATACCCGAGTTGGCCAAGAAGTACAAGGTTTATGCCTTGGACTTGCTCGGGTTCGGATGGAGTGACAAAGCCATAATAGAGTATGATGCCATGGTTTGGAGAGATCAAGTTGCTGATTTCTTGAAAGAGATTGTGAAAGAGCCTGCGGTCGTGGTCGGAAACAGGTGAATGTCTATCTACTCCAATTTCACTCATCCTGCCAAAGATTACTACTAAGAGTTTGAGAAGCAACATTTTTTATTCTGCAGCCTTGGCGGTTTCACCGCCTTGTCAACGGCCATAGGATCACCCGAGCAAGTGGCCGGAGTCGCTCTCCTAAACTCTGCGGGACAATTCTCGGACTCTAGTAGAAGATCAGAGGAGACTAATGAGAATGGGTTTGGCAAGTTTGTTCTTAAGCCATTGAAAGAGATTTTCCAACGAGTGGTTCTAGGGTTCTTGTTCTGGCAAGCCAAGCAGCCTTCTCGGATTGAATCTGTCTTAAAGAGTGTACGAAATGAAACTTCCTATTTCAAATCCTCTAGATTCGTGTTTTAAGTTTCTTTGCTAACATTCTTGTTGTCTGCAATGCAGGTGTATATAAACACTGCTAATGTCGATGACTATCTTGTAGAATCTATATCTAAACCAGCAACAGATCCTAATGCAGGAGAAGTATACTACAGGTACATTACATACATAAGGACGGTTCTTCCTGTCCTATTTTCCGACAAAGAAAGCATACAGAATGAGAAGATAGATTTAAGGTTGTTTTTTTTCCTTACAGATTGATGACACGGTTCATGATGAACCAGAGCAAGTACACTCTAGACAGTGTCCTGAGTAAGATGACTTGCCCACTGCTGTTGCTGTGGGGAGACTTGGACCCGTGGGTTGGCCCTGCAAAGGCTGAGAGAATCAAAGAATTTTACCCAAACACATCGGTCGTGCACTTACAGGCAGGACATTGTCCGCATGATGAGATCCCGGAAGCTGTCAACAAAGCTTTGTTGGATTGGTTATCCACGGTAACATCCACCCGATCCCCTCAAGTCCTGGAGATGTAAAGGATCTTCCTTTTTTTCCCGGTCTGTAGTTACCATTTTGTTTTAGAAGTGAAAGTACAGTTGTACATATATTGCTACCCAACTTCAACCGAAGGAGGAAGATTACTCAATTCTGCCAGCCCTCAAAACACTTACTTTGCCTTCTATGCTGATTTGCTCTGGCTCTAGTTCTTGTCACTTGCGGGAAAACGCAAAAAAACAGTGTCCGGTCCAAGATTCACATCAAGCTGTCTTTCCAGTCCCAGATGATGCATTGCCGCTTCTACAAGTATCATTGCCGGAGCTCCTCTATCAAAACCGGCACAAGTTATGTTCAGGATTCGGATATAACCCTCAGACACAATGACCTTACAGGAGTGTTAAATTCATGGACAAGAACCTTGAGCTGCATACCTGCTTTCCAAAGTCAAAAGGAACGTATCTGTACTTGATCATGTGTACCAGTTGGCGTTTCATGGTGAGGATAAACAGAAACAACCAGTAGCACAACAAGATCGGCCAGAAGACAGGGACATCCAAGAGGGAGACAAAAGTTATGAGAAACGCAACAACAAAGGCCTTTGTTGCTGCGTACCTGAAGCAAATGTCGCAAAAAAAAAACACAAAACCCATCAGAGAGAATGGTTGAATCCATCACAAAACAACTGTAACTATGAGAAGAACGAAATGCCAGTCAGTAACAGATTAAACAAAGGTGCATTATTCGAATAAACCCAGAAATCTTCTGCAGAAGCGAGGAAAATGGCAATCACCAGAATTTGAACTCAGGAAGGCGACGAACAAAAGGCTTGAACTCGTCAGAACCTACGTTAGACCGGAGAGGCACCATCGAAAGCCTCGAGCTCTGGATCGACCTTAGGTGAGAGGAAACCGATCAAGAGGTTCAAGATGTAAGTAGCGAGGCCATACGAGATGACGTAAAACCCTTCGATATAGTAAACCCTCAAGACGTAGATCACAGCAGCCGCCAATGTCACCAGCCATCTCCGACCGAAGTGAGGGGCGGAACTGTCCAGGTAATTCTGGAAATTCCTCGTGAAATCGCTTCTCCATTTCGCGGGCGGTGAAACGACAACGTTGCTGTCATTTCCCGATTCCTCCATGACAACACAAACAGTTATTCCTAGTACACCTAACCCTAAAAAAATTCCGATCAAATCGATGTAAGACGTCAATCGAAGCGATACGGTAAAGGAATCCACATGATCTTGGTTACTGAACAAATAAAATCGACAGAGATTACGTGAAAAATGTAGAAAGCTTTCGAGAAATATCTCCAACTCTATGGTAGAGTGCAGAATTCAACGTTGCTTCCCACCGCCAAAATTTTCTTGGTCCAGTTAGGCGGAAGGGAAACTACCTGGAAAGTGACGAGAAAAGTTTCCGACTTTTTCTTTTCTCGATTTCCAAATCGCTTGCTTGCTTGACGAGGAAAACGAGACTGACGTGGGGTGGGGTCTAAGCGAATTATGTGACACGTGGACATAATTTATTCGCTGTTTTGCCCAAAAAATGGTTGTGGATTGATGGGCTGTGGTACATCGGATAAGGTCTCAAGATTTTGGGCCTCATTAGGGTTCTTGTGGGCCCATACTGATTCTCCTGCTTCGATTCTTTCATGAATCACCGGAAATATTTTTGTTGCAATTAGTTACGAGAAATTTTGACGAAATGTTTTTACAAAAATCATTGTTTTTTGTATTTCATAATCGATATTTTTCCTCGATTTTTTTTTTTCATATTTCGTGAAATTTTCTATGCATTATTTATAACAAAAATATTTCCGGTGATTCATGAAAATCGAAACAAGAGGAAATCAATATGGGCTCGAAGGAACCCTAATGAGGCCCAATAATTCAACGGAACGAGACCAGAATGCCTACCCACAAATTTGAGGCCTTATCCGATGGACTACGGCCCGACAGGTCCCCACCACGATGTGTTACAATTTATTCTTGTATTAGAAAATATAGGCTATGAAATACACACAAAAAAAGGAGTTTTATTTTTTAATATTTCATCAAATTTTGCATTAAATTAGTCAATAACCGAAACGTGTAATTTTCGGAATCTTGGAGTTGACGGCAGTATATGCTCCGTGGAATCTTTTCCCCTTTTCGCCTCCGTTATTACTTTTGTATATTTCATGTTCTTGGATAGTCAAAAAGTAAAATATCTTCCACTTCTTTTAGAATGTAAATGTTTTTTTTTTGCTCGTCTTCCGAGAAAATAATTATTAAGCCGAAGCAAAGGCATGATATATACATATAGGGTATGCATGTATAGCTTTGTCCTCTTAATGTCTATATGCACGTGTCTATAGGCAGATGCATTTATCATGGGTGCACATGGTATGATCCTGTGGGATATTCGAGACTTTAAAATATCGAATTTTGGTTATTGTTATTTTTTTATGTAATAATTTTTTATTATTATTTTTAAGTTCGTAGATATTATAGATATTCGATTTATAGATCATCGTGTAACATGTTGAAATATTTTTTTTTTTTATAATTAATGTCTTCTCCCAAGGGAGATTCGTTGAAGTCAGAAATATGATCTCAAGACTGAAAAAGTCAAACAAAAAATGAAAACGTAAGCCAAAGCCACCCCCTTTTGGTCAGACTAATAACGCTGAAATCTTCAACGCTATTGGGCACCCAAAGCCTGACTTTTTCCAAACAAGATATGATATAAATAAACAGTCTATATATAAACCGATACCCAACTCTCTCTTGCATCACATCACACCCCATCAAACTTCTTCTCTCCCCTTCTTCATCTTCTCCATAACCAAAAATAAAAAGAAAAAAAAAACAGGAGATGATGAGAGCAATGAGCACGAGGGGGAGGAGCCGCCATGGATACGAGCGGTTAGGAGATGAGTCTAAGATAGGGTTGATGGAAGGAGAGCTGAAGAGGTCGAGGACGGTGCCCACATCAAGGAACAGGCTCGGTGGTTCGGTTCCGGCGATATTGGAGGAGCTGCCACGTCAGCAATCTTCGGCCAGGAAGAACACGACGTCGTCAAGCAGCAAGTTCAGCCACCCGATCTTCAGCCTTTTTAACGGCGGACGTGGCCGGAAAAAGAAGACGACGGCGAAGCCCGAGTTCTCTAGGTACTTGGAGTATCTCAAGGAAGGTGGCATGTGGGACCCTTCCTCTAATATGCCCGTTATTTACTTCAAATAGTCCCTTACACACACACACACATATAGGTATATATGTATCCATATATAAATATATGTGTGGAATTGGCCAAAGAAAGAGAGAGAGATGTGAAAAATGCTGTGATTTGATTCGAGCATTTGTTTAGGATCCTTTTTTTGTTTGTTTTCTTTTACTACATGTGATGTTGTATATAATATGTTTTATTTGTGATAAAAGTTGATGAGATTTAGATGAATATTTGATATGTCTCTAATCACGGAGGGATACAAGTAGTTTTTGTATGGTTCTTGTTATAGAATCGAAAGGAAAATGAATTGTTTCTTTGATTAGCAAAATGATGACGGTCCATTTTTTTTTATATTGCAAGTAAAAACTCAATAAAATAATATATGAAAATGATGATAAAGTCCAACCTCCAAATCCGACCGCCCGTGTTTGTTTTGGATTTTACCTCATAATGAAACGGCGTCGTTTCTTGAGACGAGACTCCGTTTTGGTTACGTGGAGCTCAAGGGAGGCTTCTTCGGTAATTTCAAAACAGAAAAACTCCCCTAGATTGGACAAAAAAAAGAAATTCAAAATAAATATGATTCCTCTCTCTATTTCTTCTGCTGTTTGCCGAATGCCGACCTCATGTTTGTTTCCCGAGAAATCGTTTTCTCGGCTGGGAAATCCGGGCCCGGTTATCCGATGTGTCGGCGTCGGCGATAGTGCAATATCCAATTTGCTTCCCTTCTCATGCCTGAGGTATTTTCCTCAGCTTTTAGACTGTTCGTTTCTGTTTTCACTTCCGATTTGCTGAGTTTATAAGCAGTTATTCAGATTTCATTTGGGGAGAGATTTTTCCAGAGTCGTTCGTAGTAGTGGTTTAGTCTAAATTAGAATCTATTAGGTCTCTCAGCCTCCCAGTGATAGTAACTGCGTAACTGGAGATTGATTGTCTCTTGAATTTTGATGATTGTTGTTCGGCTTAATGTTTAACGAAACATTCGGGATTGGGTTTTGCAAAGCTGCGTGGATGTTCAAAGTCCCACGCTGTGATTTTTGAGATTCAAAGGCTTGGAATCCAGAATTTGAACCTTTGGAATTCCGGAATTTGAAACGAGAGTTAGCGAATCCTATAAAAATTCTCTTTCTAACTCCATCTCCTCGGGCATTATACAAAGCATTTCCTCTGCAGGATTTGACAGAGGAATGAGAATAGGGGAGAGAAGAGGGAGGCAACAGTTCAAAGATTGAAGCTGGGTTGCATGAGGTGAGAGTAGGGTTGATAATAGAAAGTGGAAGCAAGGAAGAGCAAGAACAATTTCTCTGAACAATGTGATCGAACATGGATTAGAATATGGTTCATTCAAGCCTTATAACCATCGCCGTTGAAGAAGGAACTACAGATTTATTATCATCAGCAGAAACAAGAACAACAAGGTGCGGCTTCTTGCATTATAAATTATAAAAGTTTCCAACTAGTTTACCATAGGCATGTTACATCAAGTGAAGTCAATGTGATTTCCTGAGAGTCTAGTCGACTTATTGTCTTCGAGTACATTAAACTTGAGTTAGATTTACCTTTTAGAATAGGTTCCCATGAATCACCCCACCATCATCAGATAATGTTCACAGCTTTCTTAGGACAACAACCAAGGTGATGGGTCTTATGTCTTCTTTAGCCACTTCCTCGTCAACCAATCTACCATAAGACTCGAAAAGCTTGTCCAGAATTTCTTCTCCAAAGTGTTGGCTAAGCATAGATTCTTGAATTGCCCTCACAGTTTTAGCGACTGTCTTACCATAGCCGATAGCGTTGTCTCCAGTCTGCCTGTCCACTTCTAACATCTCTAACCTATCTAACTCGAAAGACCCTTCTTTTATCACTTCGCCCTCTATCTCAGCTGCTGTCGGCGCATAGAAGTGCACGTCGTAGGAATCGAGCTTCTCTTCTTCGGTTTCCCCCTACAAGTCACGGAAGAAACATCAGTTATGTTGTTGATTTCACTTATACTTTTTTCTATGTGTTTGTCTTTGGATTTTCAGGAATTTCTCTGAAACAAAATATCTACCGGAGCAACCAGATCGGCAACTGTTCTTGAAAGGAGTTCCCAGAAGAAAGAGTTTCCTCTGTCGATATGACCCGGACCTTCTCTTCCGAGTAATATGAGCACCATTCTGCCTCCGGAAACCAACTCCTTCGATCGACACTGGAGAAACAAGGAGAAATCTTCCTTGAATTGATCGTAGTACGCTTTTGACACAACTTCGGGGCTCGAAGAGCAGATATAAATGCAGCCCTTGTTCATGGACTTGCCTTGCTCATCGTAGATAGCCGGAGGGACCTGAACGCCAAGTAAATGCATATCCTTAAATTCTCACTCTCATGCCAACTCATGCTTCTATAGGTACTTAGATATATATATATACACACGTGCATATCACCTTCGACAACCAGTGTAAGCTGTAGGAAGAGTACACGAAGTGAAGGGTGTTGTCGGGGAAGAGCCTTCCATAGAAGGAACCAGGGTAAGCTGCGATGAAAACAGGAGGAGAACCGCCATTTCTATCTCTCTTGAGCTCTCTGTGGAACTCAGGCAAGGCCTTGAATATGGAGTTGAAGTCGTTGCGGGGAAGATCGTTGAGGAAGACACAGAACTCAGGCGACGGCTGGCTTGAGGTCGTATCTCGATGAACAGCTTCGACGGCTTCGATGATGTCTCTGATCGTTGACAGCGTGTTCGGTCCGGAAGAACAACCCAGGTCAGCTAATCCCAAACTCTTGGGACTTGTTGCCTTGTAAAGCTCTTGCACTGTCTCCAGTGTTATGTGCTTTGCCTCATCAGATGCTTTCTTCTGTTTTGGTTATAGAGATCAAGTAAAGATCGTATTAATTAGGGAATATAAAATGACCCAGTGAAGATGAAGGTCTTTTATAAAGATCGAATCTTTCTTTTTAAGTGTGTTTTGGAGTAACCTGAAGAGATGAGTTTTTGGCATAGCTAGTTTTGCCAGTTCCTCCAGTCATGTGAAACTCAATCTCCAAACCCTTCTTCTTGTTGTTCTCCATACCACAATATTGAGCCAAAAAAGAAGAGAGAGAGAGGGTTGGTCTGACCAATCTTTCTGGGGTTAGGGTCTGTTTGGTGTTGCTGGCTTTGGTTTTAAAGCAGAAATCTCCACTTTGTCACTTCCATCTTAGGATTCAAGGTAATGACTTTAAATTTCAGGAGGGTGAATCATCTATCAAAGAGTAAACGACTTAGTTAAGGGTGTTAGACTTTGTGGGTGGTTAAACTTTTTGTCCGAATAGTGAATGGATTTTCTCATTCATCATTCTTCATGATTCGCCAAAGGAATTGAGATATGGGAAATTGGTTCTTCCATACATTACTATTATCAGCATCATGGATGGATCTGTGTGTGCGCTTAGAAAAAGTAGATGTGGTACGTTTAGACCCGTCTCTAAACAGGATTTAGTCAGAGTAACCAAAAATAGGCAAAAATATATTAAGCAGATTTAATATTCCACTCCCTCATGATTACTCTACTTCCTGTCTGTACTTGTAATCTCTGTTCCTTCTTGTGTTTTTTTTCTTCTGTCGGCAAAGTTTCCGTTTTTTTTTCTTTGTTTCTATGTTTTGGTTTATCCCCTACTACTGATATATTTAATTAGGTTCAATATATATGTATATGCATAATGTGAGGTTAAAGGAAGTACCTAAGCCTATATACATCTTTTATATAATGTCTAGGTGAAAAATTATTAAAAATTTTGTACAGTGTACATTTTTAGATTTTAATGTATAATGATTGTGGCAAGTGTCATTAGTAATGGATCAATCAAGTGGTTGAGTGAGCCATAATGTTCATTGGGGGTAAATAATGGAAAAAAAATTCAGCCAAGGGGGAAAACTCTTTCAGGGAAAGGAAAAGCATAGGGAGCTTTTAGGGAGTGTGAAATGATGATTGAATGACTTTGGAAGGCAAAAGTGACAAGTGAAATAATGAATGGTGGGCAACAGATGTGCCCACCCACTCTGTTTTCTTCTCTTTTTCATATTTAATATCCTCCACATAGGATTTGGGTTTGATTAAAAAAAATATTTGTTTTCAGATTAAATTATATATTCTTCAAAATTCCATTGGCATTCAATTTCAAGTGTTATTTATTCAGATTTCAACCAAAGTTGAATTCATGTTTAGAGGGAGAAAAGAAATCATATTGAAGAAGGATGATGGTGGTGAAAGAATTGGAGAAAAGTGAAGGATGATACATATGTGAAAATTCGAATATCTGAATATTTAGAAATATTAAATTCCAGCTTGAATTTCAAAAATATAGAATCAAACTATTCGAAATCAGATTAAGATAATCCAGATTGGATTAAAAGAACCCAAATTTTGTAAATAAAAAAAACGAGTATGTGTCAACGTCATGGAGGGGTGGGGGTCAGGGAGGGAAAGGGCACGCGTGTCAGCTGAGGGATTCGGCCAATAATCTGTTGTCACAGCCCAAATGCGGAGTGTGGAGTTTGGATTCCCGAATATTTGTACAAAGCAACTTACTTTTTTTTTTTTTGGTAAACCAAAGTAACTCACTTTTCCTCCTATTATTTTCTTCTTCTTTTTTCTCCTTTAAACTTTATTATATATATATATTCCCTCAGTTTAATTTTATTTGACGTTTTAGCTTTAAACACACATATTAAGAAAAATAAAATTTTATTTAAAATACCCTTTTGTAATTATGATATCTTTATTTTTTCTCTCATACAATATTATAATTACCTATTATTAATGAATGATAATTTTGAAAAAAATATCAAAAAGTACATAGAAAATATCAAAACGTCATTTATTTTAAAACAAAAAAATAACTCTAAAACGTCATCTAAAATTAAACGGAGGGAGTATTATTTAAACATATGGTTTTCTTCATATGGGTATTTGATCTTTGTTTCGTTAGTAATAAAATATATTTCAGATCTCTCGTGCAACATTTCATATTCTCCAATTTTCCATACCATAAAACTATAGAAAGTAAAATCCTAATTTCTTAAAATATTTTTTAATATAAAAAAAAAGGTAGAATGAAGAGGTAACAATTGAGGAAGGAGATGGCTCCAAAATGTTTAATGATAATAATATCTAAATAGGACCAATTTGACGAGAAAGCAAATGAAATCGATACCTATTTGGGTTTTGGTAAAGTTCCATCTTTCCCAAGGCCTAACTCATATAGTTCACTCTGCTATCTATCTTGTTCCTGTTATAAATGAATGTTGAACCACTTTCTTTTTTTGGATGGAGATGTCGTCCATTTACTTTTTCCTGTTCTATTTTTTTTTAAAAATAAATTGTTAATTGTTTTTTATTTAGGACTTTAGTTCGATCTGTTTTTTATTTTAAAAATATTTAATTTTCTAGATTATTCCTTGTTAAAAGAAATTGATTTTTTTTAAAATGTATATCTGATTAATTTTTAAAAATATACGTCCCAAGTTCTGATTGGTACAAAACAAAAAGGAGATAATTCGACAATAGTGATTATAATTTTAAATAGAACGAAAGGAAAAAAAACTAAATGGTGTCAATATGAGATGATTTTGGTACATATTTATTTGGTACAGATGATATCATTAGGGTTGTTGCTGTCTTGGGAATTTTGTAATTTGTTGGATAAAGAGTTATGGACATTAATTTTACAATATAAATAAATAAATAAATAAAATTATGGGATATATATGAATTGGAATTGGAAGTGGCATCTTATGGATAAAGTCATGATTGATTGCCCACGACAACAAGCGGGAAAGCCTGTGAATCGTACAAAGAGGAGCACAAAAACTCTGATGGAATTATTCACTTATTATTTGACTTTTTCAAATCTAAATTAAAGATTAAATATCCTGCTAATACGGCCCACTAATTGAAATTTTGGTGACTGTTTGTTGTTAGTTATAATTTTGTTTTAAGAAAGAAAAAGGCTTGTTTCCAAGTTTCATAATTTGATCTAATAAATGTGTTTTATTTTAGTTTTTTTTTTCCCGTTAAGAGGAGACACGAGTTTTTGCCTTTTTGGGCTAACAAATAGCCCTCAGATTACATTGGGCCTGGAGCCCAATATCAGCGCACCCACAACCTTAGTCCAAGAAAGGAGTACATCATGGCCGTGGTGTATGCGCATATATATTGAAGATGCATAATGTAATTAAGAATCAATATTATTTTCTGTTTTCTTCGATTCGATTTGATTTTTATTATTTTATGCAAAGTATCTATTTCAATTGCACTTCGTTCCATATTTTGTAACAAAAAAACAATAACAAATCGTGGAAAGGAAAAGCATAGGGAGCTTTTAGGGAGTGTGAAATGATGATTGAATGACTTTGGAAGGCAAAAGTGACAAGTGAAATAATGAATGGTGGGCAACAGATGTGCCCACCCACTCTGTTTTCTTCTCTTTTTCATATTTAATATCCTCCACATAGGATTTGGGTTTGATTAAAAAAAATATTTGTTTTCAGATTAAATTATATATTCTTCAAAATTCCATTGGCATTCAATTTCAAGTGTTATTTATTCAGATTTCAACCAAAGTTGAATTCATGTTTAGAGGGAGAAAAGAAATCATATTGAAGAAGGATGATGGTGGTGAAAGAATTGGAGAAAAGTGAAGGATGATACATATGTGAAAATTCGAATATCTGAATATTTAGAAATATTAAATTTCGTTTTTGGATGAAAAAGCTAAGAAACTTTGATGTATTAGTTTTTCAAGGGTATTTTTGTAATGTGGTTTTATCTATAGTGGATTTTTTTTTTCCGACAAAAAAGAAAGTTTGGACCCGTACCATTGAAGATACGGCCCATGGATTGTGCTGACCGAACACAGATCCGCCCGCCAAAATCTCATCTCTCTTTTCCCCTTCCTTCTTTTTTTTTTTAAATAAAATTATCTGTAATTCGTTTTTTTTCCTCCTCGGAACGCAATTTATCGTCAAATTGAAAAGTACCAGAAAAAAAAAATCTCGCTTCTCCAATTTCAAACAGTCGTCGCTTGTTTCGAGTCTCTCTGCTCGTTCTTCGTGCGACTATTCTCGTGTGCGGGAGCTCTTGCAGACAACGTTGTCTTCTGCTTTGTTTTCCTCCCTCAAATCTTGGGGAATCAGGTAACAGCTCTTTAGTTTTTCTTTTGGGGGTTCGTGATCTGCATGGTATGGATGGCTAGATCTCTGTTTTCGTAGTTACGAAGGGTTATTCCTTGTCTCGATCCCTGCAATTTCGTTTATGTCTGCTGGATTGTCGATTTCTTCGAGGCATTGGATCTTCCCTGATTTAATTGATCTGATTACGGATCTTCGCTGATGGGTTTTCCTTATTGGATACGATACTGTCGATCTCTCGGTGTTTTGGCGTGAATTCTTCGTTTGTAAGCCGATTTGAAGATCGGTCTTGCTTTGTATTGGTTTGCCAGAGTTGAGAATTGTGGCCTTGCTTGATTTTGCTGGGAAATGTTCTAGTTGAAAGACAGAGCTCTGAGCGCGGTGTTAGCAATGGCGTCAAATCTCGGTGACATGTTCAATGCCACATTAAGCTGGGTTACAATGGTTTTGGATGCTCCTTCAGCTAGAGCTGTTGTGTTCGGAGTTCCCATCGGAGGTTAGATTTTTGGACATCAAAAGGCATTTTCCTGATCAGTTCGGTTCTGTTCTTTTTTCAGCTATGGATGTCTGAAGATCTACTCGTTCTATTACTTTCCAGGACACTTCTTTGTGGAAGGTTTGTTGGGGGTTGTCATCGTCATCTTGCTCAGCCAAAAGAGTTACAAACCCCCCAAGAGACCATTGACGGAGCAGGTTAGTTCCTTTTATGATTCATATGACACTGGTTTGGGCATTTCCTATGAGCTTGTGCTTCTTGCAGGACAAAATGTTTTTACATAGTTTATGCTCCTGTCAAACTGGCACTCTAATCGACCCGTTGATATATTTGATGTTGCATATCAAAGGGGTGAAGGAATTTTTAACTGTGTATCGCAGGAAATAGACGAGTTATGTGAAGACTGGGTGCCTGAACCTCTTATTCCTACTATCACTGAGGATATGAAGCATGAACAGCCAGTTCTCGAGAGGTGAAGCAAAAATCTATCTGTCTTTGTCTTTTTCTTTGTTTTTACATAAATCTTTATCCCCATGCTTAAACATGGGATGTCCATCCAGTGCTGCTGGACCTCATACAGTGATTAATGGAAAGGATGTTGTGAACTTTGCTTCAGCAAATTATCTTGGACTCATTGGACACAAAAAGTTACTGGTAGGTCAAACGGCCTTTCTTTGGTTGTGTCTGTTCTGTAAAAACAGTTTGAATTGAAACACTCCATGTCAGGAATCGTGTACTTCTGCGTTGGAAAAATACGGTGTTGGTTCGTGTGGTCCTCGTGGTTTCTATGGTACCATTGGTAAGTTTCAATCTTGAATTTCTGTTTAGAGGCGGGTTTTGATCTTCCAAATTCTTGGCTCGAAAGGGTTCTTACTGTCTGAAATCTTGTTTTAACCAGATGTCCACCTTGATTGCGAAACCAGAATATCAAAATTCTTGGGTACTCCTGATTCAATCCTCTATTCTTATGGACTTTCCACGATGTTCAGTGCAATTCCTTGTTTCTGTAAAAAGGGTGACATCATCGTTGCGTAAGTACACAATTGCCTAAGCATCGTTGATCGCTTTGCTTACATTTTGTCTTAGATCAATAGAAATGTGAGAATGATGTTCAATTTCTTCGTAGGTATGTATCTATCGAAGCTTAAAACCTTCCATCTCAATACAAGGGTTAATCTCGTTTTTTTCCTCGTTCCAGTGATGAGGGTGTTCACTGGGGAATACAAAATGGGCTTCAGCTTTCGAGAAGTACCATCGTGTACTTCAAGCACAATGACATGGACTCACTCCGTAACACCCTTGAGAAGATTATGACTCGGAACAAACGTGCTAAGAAATTGAGGCGTTACATTGTAGTTGAAGCTGTGTATCAGGTATCATACAAAAAAACAACCACCTTTTCTTCCTTTTCCTTGAATTGAATCATATAATTGTTGAACTTGATGATTTGGTTTCTTTAATACATATTTTTCTTTTTTAAACCTGCAGAACTCTGGTCAAATTGCCCCTCTGGATGAGATTATAAAACTAAAAGAAAAATACAGGTTTCGTCTTCTATTGGATGAGAGCAACTCATTTGGTGTACTCGGGAATTCTGGACGAGGTCTTGCTGAGCACCATGGTGTTCCTGTACGTATGAACAGAACCCTTGCAGGGATTATCGTTTCCCGAATCCGTTCTGATTATTTGTCGTCATTTCTGCTTACAGATTGAGAAGATAGACCTTGTAACTGCTGCAATGGGTCATGCATTAGCCACTGAAGGTGGATTCTGCACTGGAAATGCTCGAGTCATTGATTATCAGGTGTCTGGAATTTGATTTGACAAAATTGTTATGAACTAACACAATTACCCGGAAAAAAATGCAAATGTTATTGGGTACTTCCCCCACTGCTTAAATCCATTTAGATTCTCACATATTTTGGTCGACACCTCTGCATTTTTGCACAGAGACTCAGCAGTTCTGGATATGTCTTCTCGGCTTCTTTGCCACCGTACCTTGCAAGTGCTGCTATTACTGCCATTGATGTAATAGAAGAGAACCCCAGCCTGTTAGTTAAGCTTAGGCGAAACATCGCTCTGTTATGGAAAGGTTGTTGTCTTGATCTGACAATCTGAGAAGAATTTGGTGAATTCCATCTCTTCAATGACTCATTTAACGGACACTTATGGAAATCTGCAGGATTGTCAGGCATCAAGGGACTGTCTTTAGCCAGCAACGCAGAATCTCCGATTGTTTTCTTGAAGCTGGAGAATTCGACGGGTTCAGAGAAAGATGATTTGCTTGTACTCGAAGAAATAGCGGACCGTGTGAGTGCATTTTTGGATGATTCATACTTGGCTCAAAGTAAAAGTAAACCCGAGTTTCTGAATTTGTATGTGTATATCCTCGCAGGCTCTGAAAGAAGATTCTGTGCTGCTAGTGACAACGGCGAGATCGTTGCTTGATAAATGCAGATTGCCTGTAGGGATCAAGTTGTTCGTCTCGGCTGGTCACTCAGAATCTGATCTTCTCAAAGCTTGTGAGTCTTTGAAGAGAATCGCCACAGAGATTCTGAAAGTTTGAAGCTTAAACTCCGAGTTGGATGATAGGAGGATTCAGACAACATGGTACACCCAGAAACAATGCCGGAAAATGATTCATATACTGGCTTTTTTTGTCTTCCCACTTCTATGGGTTCCGCCATTAATGGCCACCCCTTGTGTTTGATCTTCTGAGTTATTGAACTGTGAACTTAGCGTATTAGGATATTGTAGTGCACGAGTTTCACTTATTTCAGGACAGAAAATAAACAGGCATAACGACGAATTTTTTTTTTTTTTCGGATTGTAACATTGGTGTCTGAATTATTTAATTTTGACCATTTTCTTAATTAAAGTAATGTGGCTGTAGTTTAGTGGTTAGAATTCCACGTTGTGGCCGTGGAGACCTGGGCTCGAATCCCAGCAGCCACACTTTTTGTTTTTCTATTTTGCTTAATAAATTTTTCTTAAAACAAAAACAACAAATCTGACTTTGACGGTCAACATTTACGCTTTGACTCAAATCCGCGTATTGAACTTCACTCAAAAAAAAAAAAAAAAAAAAAAAAAAGAAATAGATCGTCCAACCAACCAAGACTTTGCCGTCACCTTGAGGAAAATCCACGTGTCTATATTCTATTTATCCACGTGTCTCGTCCTAGGTGTCCTTTCGTGAGCGTGCTGTATTTTGATTTTATTTGGTGATTTCGTACACACCGTGTACGTATATATGTGTGTGTGGGTTCGCGCATACATCAATTAGCTCAGTTTACATGGCCTTCATTTGAATCATTTCTAAGACATATTCTTAAATTATAATATTATATATTAGTATCATTATAAGATTAACAGATAAATCGTTATAATATTATTACAACAGAAAAAACTACGATACAATATTTATTTTTTCGATAACCAAGATGGTTTTCCGAATCTTCGACCCGACTACATCCACTCTAGGTCTCTAGGTCCGAAAGATACAATATTTGTATATGTGTACATATATACTAATAAATATGTCTATCAGTATATTAGCGTTCTTGTGATATTCGGTTATAAATCTTTTTTCATATTAATAAAGTGTAAAAATATTCTCTTTTTAATGGATCTTAATAACCTAATCTTCAATATTAATTAACATTTCAGTAAAAAAATTATATTCAAAACAATATTTATTCCCACAGATCTGTTCGAAAAAATCATAATGAATACCAAATATTATAAAACAGGAGGTAGCAATAATAGCATTATCCATTCACATTTTCCTTTATGTATTTTTCTGAATACAATGTGAATATTTATATGCAGAGAAATAGCATCCAGTATACTTTATCCACATGAATTTTTCTATATAAAATAATACTTTTAAACATTTGTGTATAAATTGAATTGAGATTAATCAAATTTAAAATATCTAAACAAATATTAAAAGATATTCGGTAACTAAAAATATTTTAAGAATTTTAAAGAATCTATAGCACAAAACGTCAAGCTTGTATATATAGATTCATAGATTTTTTTAAAAAATTCATTTATATAATAAGAAATACAAATTTATAAAAATATCATTAAATTTGAAAATAAACTAAGATGCCATATTTTTTTATTAGATCTTCAATAGATTTATACAAGATTTATTTGTATTTGCTCGAATGCACTAAATACCATTGTTTTCCAAAATCCAGTCTTGTAACAATGAGCAAATTTACCAATTTAAATTGTTTACATCCAAATTATTAATAACCATAATAAAAATAAGCAGAGAGATTGAAGAAAACGCAGTGTCGTTTTGGTAATTACGATGTATAAACAAGACAATTTGCCGAAAAAGGAAAGAAGTAACGAGGAAATTAGTGCTTCGACTACGTATTGCTCGTCTTCCTCCCAAAATACCTTCCCGTATGGGCCTCACGTCCTAACTCTCTCTCTCTCTCTGATAAAATCTTTGCCATATCTGATCTGTAATCTGGATAAACACGAAGAACCCATGTGAAATCAGATCAAGTCATGCCCATCTCGTCTCTTTCTCATCCGATTAATTCCGCTTCTCTGTTGCTGGTAAGACTTTGGAATCTATGCTCTTTGGTTTTCTGCTTGTTTAATTGCAATCTTTGAGTTAATTTGAGCCGAAAAGGGTTGATGATGACGCCGAAAGTGTGCTTTTTCGTTGTTGTTGATTTTACCTTTTTTTTCTCCTCTCATTGGGAAGTAGAAGATTGATGGCTAAGTAAAGGGGAAAAAGCGGAGATTTCTGGTTGGATTTTTTGCTTTTTTGGAGAAAAGAGGAATAACGTAAGCGGGAAAAAGTTCCATCGGAGAGAAAAAGCTCGAAGCTGCGGCGTTTTGCCGGCAAGCAAGTATCGATTCGGTAATTCGAAATTCGAACTCCTTGAAACCCTTCTTTAAGTTTTGCGGAATTGAGATCGGGTTCAGTGGGATAATTCGATAATTTCGCCGAATTCACCGGAAACTTATGAATTGAAGAATTGTGGGCTCGTCTGGTTTCGCTTCGTGGTGTGATTTGACAGGGGAAGACGAAGAAGAAGAAGAAGAACTGCCATGGCGATGCTTGTGGAGCCTCCAAATGGAGTTAGACAACAAGGAAAGCATTATTACACGATGTGGCAAACGTTGTTCGAGATCGACACCAAGTATGTGCCGATTAAGCCAATCGGGAGAGGAGCTTATGGCGTAGTGTGTTCGTCTGTGAACCGGGAGACTAATGAGAGAGTCGCCATTAAGAAGATCCATAATGTGTTTGAGAACAGGATCGATGCCTTGAGAACGTTGAGGGAGCTGAAGCTTCTCAGACATGTGAGGCATGACAACGTGATTTCTCTCAAGGATGTTATGTTGCCTCCTCTTAGGACAAGCTTTAAAGATGTCTACTTGGTCTATGAACTTATGGATACCGATCTTCATCAGATCGTCAAATCATCCCAGCCACTCTCTGATGATCACTGCAAGTACTTCATCTTTCAGGTACCCTGAAGTTTATTCGGTGATTAGAGCTTTCTGTTTGGTTTATATATTTCCCCTTTGATCGCTTTGGTATTACGGGTTTGTTTGCTGATTTTGGTTTTGTACGTTTAGTTGCTAAGAGGACTGAAGTATCTCCACTCGGCAAATGTCCTTCACCGGGACTTGAAGCCAGGCAACCTCCTTGTCAATGCCAATTGCGACCTGAAGATATGCGATTTTGGGCTTGCCAGAACAAGCCGAGGCAATGAACAGTTCATGACGGAGTACGTGGTCACACGCTGGTACCGAGCCCCTGAACTTCTTCTCTGCTGTGATAATTACGGAACCTCCATCGATGTCTGGTCAGTTGGCTGCATATTTGCTGAGATTCTTGGCAGAAAACCGATTTTCCCTGGAACCGAATGCCTTAACCAGCTTAAGCTAATCATCAATGTGCTTGGTAGCCAGCAAGAATCTGATCTCCAGTTTATAGACAACCCGAAAGCCAGGAGATTTATCAAGTCTCTCCCTTTCTCAAGGGGTGCCCACCTGTCCCACATGTACCCACATGCCAATCCTCTGGCTATAGACTTGTTACAGAGGATGCTCGTGTTTGACCCAACCAAAAGAATCACTGTCACAGAAGCACTGTTGCACCCTTACATGGCAGGGCTGTTCGACCCGGGAGTCAATCCACCTGCCCAGTTCCCAATCAATCTGGACATAGATGAGAACATGGAAGAGCATACAATCCGGGAGATGATGTGGAACGAGATGCTCTATTACCACCCGGAGGCTGCGTCCCCAAACACTTAGGTAACAATGTACTATCAAACGGTATTTCTAGTTTTCGTATGCTTCTTGATCTCAGGCATCGTTATAGAAGCTTTATCATATTATTGTATGGAGAAAAAACTCGGCTAGTGTTTCGTCTCACCCGTTTTATTAGGGCAGTGAGTGAGTAAGCAAGTGCTGGAGAGCTAAGTTCATGATCTCCCCTTTGTAAAACACACACCACTAGACTGTATGTGCCTTTGTGTACTGATCATTCTGAAGGGAAATGAAGGAGAGAAACTCAAGAGTCTGACACAGAGTCCATTCATGTTTGTTGTCGCTGCTGTTGTTAGGCTTGTTCTTTGTCTTGTCCTCTCAGCTTGATACGGAAAGATGCCCTTTGAAGATTCAGAGAATCCAATCGAATCGCTTTTAAATAAGAGCACATGCACATAACGTCAGCAAATCTTCGAGGACAGAACAAAGACTTGATTTGGTTTCCTCTTTGAACGACGCTTACTTAGTAATGAAGCAGTGTTTGAGCCTCCAATACTCAAAAAAAGAAAACAAAAATGGTCATTTCTATTAAACTGCTACAAGAGACACTAAATGAACCTTAGGTTATGTTTACATGACAAACATGGTTTACATGTCTATATAATACGGCACATTATATAGTTTTTTTTTTGTTGTCATTTTAGTCTTGGTCGTGTTGAATATCATCAAACCCACGAGCCGTAGAAATTAGGGTTCACCCAAAAATTTAATCACTAGACTATAAAAAAAAATCTTTTGTATAAATTCGATATTTAGACTCACCGCCTTTGTTATTCCTTTAATTTGTAAAACATCCTGTAATTAGATATCTAATCTTAAATTCCATAACAATTGACTTTTCGGCACCGTTTCTGTTGCTATTAGGCGTATAAAAATATGAAGATATTTGAACAATTTGATAGTTTTTTTTTTGTCGGCTAAAAGACTAATTCATTGTATATAGCTCTCTTTCTAATTTGATTAGACATGTTAATTCGCGGAAAATGTTGACTTGTAAGTTATATAAAAATGATATTATATCCAATAAATGGCAAGATGTGACATCATTGAATTGTCCGTAAATGTAAGAATTCGCAAGTGTTTAGTCGATCACTTTGCCAAATGTTTTCCATCAATTACATCATAAGATATTTACGTTGTATCTATCATTAGGAATCTTTCATCGGGGTTTGGCCATGTCTTAGTTTGGTCATCTTTTTTCTGGTTTCTTTAAATTTATATATGAAAAAGCATATTTCTTAGCTTCTTGTGTCGGTTGGTTTTAGCCTGATTATTATTTATTTAATTATTTCGATTTTAAAAAGTTTATAATCCAATACCATTTGACATGATTTTCTTCTGTAATTTAATTAAATTTTCAAAAAAAAAAAGGAAGGGGAGGGGAAGGGTCCAACGTCTGAGCCTATGGGATTGTGTTTGCATGCAGTGTCTTTTCTCCTCATCTTTCCCTCAGTTGGAGCCAACCTATTCTGACTCATACCACACGACAATACCAATGCCCTCTTTTTTTAATTAGTAAAATAAATAAATAAATAAACAAAACCAATTAGATGATATTTCAAAAATTAAAAAAAAGGTTGGATTTTGGAAAAACAAACTACAATTCTTAAACCCTTTTTTCCTTGTAAAATATATGGTATGGGTAATTAATGGTTTCGTGTAGCATAATTATTTTTTGGTTTGGAGTTTGGGTATATGACTGCGTATGAAATCTATGCAATAAAATATCTATACAATTATACTATAAAGAGTTTGGACATGAATTTCATCCTTTCTGTATTGAAGCACAAAAATGTCGTCCTTTAATTTTGAAAAATATATATGTTTAATGTTTTAGAGGTAAGTAAGTTTCACAAAGTATCCAGTAAAAAAATCTATTAATTATTATTTTATTTGTGATAATTAGAAAAAAGAAGAAATGCGTTTTTTGATTTTTTTTATTTAGTAATGAATTTAAACATGCGACTTTTCCTAATGGTAATGTGTAATTTCGTCACTTCGTCACTGATTAGGGACAAGTTTTACATTATTTCATAATATAAAAAAAAAAATCCAGAAAAAAATGGTCCCCTCTCACCGTTGTTTCAGACATTTCTGACACAATACACGTGATTCGTACGGTCCAGATCTATCGCGAGATTCTCAATCATACGATGTCGTATTGGAACACGGTAATTAAACTATTAATTTTTACCTCGGCCTCCAGGTGATTTTAACTACAAACGGTCGGTAAAGCTCGAGATTCCTGCGGTGTAGCAGTAATTTTCTTTTATAAAGAATAAGAAATCAGCGCTCGGGCCCCGTAACGGCGTCGTTTCCGTGGCGGTGATTTAACAGTTCCGCAGCCCCTTCTCCAAAGGAAGGTTCTTCCCATGGTTCGTTTTTACTTATCCAGATATATATATGACTAAATTTTTGGGAAAAGGCTCCGAATTTTAATAATTAATATATTCCATATTCTTATCCAGAAGTTGATTTTTTATAATGATTTTTTAAGAATAAATCCCACAACGATTGTAGAACGTAATAAAAGAAATTAAAATGTTATAAATTTTAAAAATTCACCTACTTTTGCAAACTCCGGAGCACATTTTACAAATCTTGTGTTAAGTAAGATTAATTTAAAAGAGCAATAATTACATCGTTAGATTAAAAAAACAGAGAGAAGTACAACCACCTAGAAATTACAAAAAAAAAAACAAAAAAAAAAACTTTATGTATTTCGTAAAATAAAGATATACAGATAGACGTAACGCTTCCACCATCCATCAAAAGAAAATAATAAATAAAAATGAAAATCAGGTGGCCGCATATGGTCTATAAAATCCAGAAGCAACTCTCATCAATTCCCCTTTCCCCTTCCCCGCATCTTCTCCTTCCTTTTCCCTGTTTTCTCCCTCTGTTTTCTTGCTAATCTCTATTATATCTTCCCCGTCTTTTCTTCTCTTCTTCTCCATTACCAAACCATTAGAAAAAAAAACTCTTTTTTCCGACCAAACAACCGAGACTGTTCTTGAGATTTTCGACTTGTCCGGAAGCAAAAAAAAAAATCTATCGGGTTTTTTTTGGATGGTCGGGAACTAATGACTCCGGCTCTCTGTGAAATTCTCCTCTCTGGTTTTATGGTAGAATCTGTTCTCCGCCGTGGAACTCACCTCGTTCAGTCTTTCTCCGTCGTCTTCCTCTACTGGTTCTACAGCGTTTCATGAACTCCCTCCCCTGTTTCATGAATTCATTCAGCCAGTGAATCGAAGTTGAAACCTAGATCTGATACTCAATAACGTACAATAACTTTTAGATAAACAGCAGAAAGGACAAAACTTTGCATCTGGGTCCCTGTATTTCTTTTTCGTTTTTTTGGTATTTATGGCGTCGTCTAGTGGCACGTACCGGAGCTCGAGCCCAGTCTCCGACGGATCTCCGTCGTCCGCCGTGGACGAGAGGAAGAGGAAGAGAATGGTGTCGAACAGGGAATCGGCGAGGAGATCGAGGATGAGGAAGCAGAAGCACATGGACGATCTGACGGCTCAGATCAACCAGCTGACGAACGAGAACCGTCAGATCATGACGAGCCTCGACGTCACGTCCCGGCTCTACATGACGATTCAGGCAGAGAACTCCGTTCTCAACGCTCAGCTCTCGGAGCTCAACACGAGGCTTCGGTCTCTGGACGACATCATCGGATTCGTGACGGCGAACACGAACTCTTCTTCTTCTTCTTCGTCGGGCGAGATCGACGGCTGTGGTTTCGTTGATCGGACGGTGGGGATTCACGATGACTTGTACGACGACATGTTTAGTGGGGTGAATCAACCTTGGGGTGGATCCCTTCACGCCAACCAACCCATCATGGCTAATGATATCATCATGTATTAATTAATTTAGTTTTTATCTTTTCTTCTTTTTTTTTCTGGTTGGGTGGTATTTACTATTTAAGACATGAAATGGAATATTTGAGCGTTTGGCTGGCAATGGTTTTGTTATGGTTGGTGGCGTTTGTTGTTATCACAACTATATAATAATTAATAATCATGAATTTGTCTTCAATCAAATTATATTTTTGTTATTGTGAATTCATTTGTTTAGATTTTCTTTTTTCTTTTTAAATTGTGGATGAAGAGGATCACATGGTACATGCAAGCTTTAATAATTCAGCATTTTGTATTTTGTTCTAATGATAAACCGTACAACAAAATATATTTTCTTAGTAAGAAACAAACTTTAAATTCCTCAAAATATGTGGTGTTATTTCCAATGTTTCGAGAAAATACCGATTGCTGTAACAAAAATTGATAAGAATTTGTTTTTTTTTTGCGCGAATAAATTGAATGTCATCAATTGGTTTGTGGACGACGACGTATTGATGCATTTTATCAATGGATATCGTATCCCGTAATAAAATCTGAGAATTCATCAATATAGCTAATGATCAAACATCAATCCGTTAAAATTTTACAAATTTATTGTTTAATATACAATTGCATTCGAACTCCAACCTCTCGGTATGTTGACAAGACTCCTTACCCGCTCATCTATCGCCTGTCAGTTACGGCTGATTTACCTCTTACGCGTATTGCAGACTCATGCGTGTGAGTTTGGATTTACTCGGTCAACGCGCCCGAATAGTAGCAGCCAGGGTTCCCAATGTATAAAGAAACTACGAGATAAAAATAGTTGTATAGATTTATACAGAAGAAAATAATAAAATAAGGGTTTTATTTTATATAATATTTTGTTTTTTTAATTAAAAATAGTTGTATAGATTTATACGGAAGAAAATAATAAAATAAGGGTTTTATTTTATATAAGATTTTGTTTTTTTTATTAAAAATAGTTGTATAGATTTTGTTTTATATAATCTTTGGTTTATTTCACTAAGACATCGGGAAAGCCCCACTAAAAAAGTGAACATGGTGACTTGGGGTTTAAATGGAAATATTCGCATTATGTCACAACCTAAAAGAGTGAAAACGAAACATTACATGTTAGAAGATGTGTTAGTGACATGAGAAAGTGTTTTTTTTTTTGTAACGGCGGAACCCAACCACATATGTTCGGCCACGGTGATAAACCCTCATGGTAATAGCCTGTAAACCACGACATGAGAAACTGTTATTATTTGTTTATGTAAACAAATGGACGTAATTGATCTGATCGACAAAGACCGTCTATTATTACAACTTGAATAAAGACAATTTGGACATTATTAGGTCGGACTACGTGTATAAATACGTATATATACGGCCATGGCGCTTTCCACTGGTACTGCATTGTGGTTGTGTCACGTTTCCTTGTTTGTTTTCGTCACTGAAATTTATGGTGGTGCCTAAGGAAGCTGCCTTTTTTTATTATATAATATAAAACATGATTTACAAAAACATATATGCGCATCACACGCATACACGTGAAACTGCTTTTATGATTTTACTTTTGCAACTGCGTACGAGACCGAATGATTAATCAATATATAATCTTAGTGTCGAAGTAAATTTTTGTGGGAAACTTTGAAATGCCATCAAATTGTATGCATTACTTTAAATATTTTCAACTACGATTATGAAATGAAAACTTTAAATTGAAATCGTTTTTGGATTAACGTACATATTTCTCCGCAAATTCCGAATTTCAGAAACACGTTTAGGTCCAATTTCAATCTGCTTTTTTTTCCATAACTTTAAGGCCTTTTTATAAGACCCAATTAATGATTCATTGGCCCAATGAGGACTTTTATAAGGCCTAATTCATGATTTAGCCCAATTAGGCCCGTTTCATGGTGTCTGATAATTTGAGAATATTGAATGACTAATTTGAGAATTTGATATATTGTCTGTTGGAATTTTATCGTTATCTTGAGATATGGATGTAAATTTTTTTCATAATTTTATCAATTTGTTTTTCTATTTAGTCAAACATAAAATTAAATAAATATATAAGAATGACAATGTTATAAATGTGATAAAAATAGTAACAGTTCTTTAAAATAAAAATTATAACATTTATATATTTTTTATTTTTTGCTCTTAGTTTTTTTTGTTGATGTTTTTTCGAAGAATTCATGTGTACAAAATAAAAGAGAGATAAAAGTGGGGCGCAGGCACACGCAATTTTTGTATTTATATCTCGGTTTTCTTTTTTATGTGGGCCAAATTTGTGCGTCCGCCCACTTTTTCTCTCTCTTTTTCAACAAATCAAGATCTTCGAAAAAAACATAATTTTCAATATATATATCTATATATGGTCTATCATATATATATACACATAGGCAGATCTAGAAAAATAGTTGAGAAGGGACACAATTTAATTTCAATATATATATATATACACGGGGGCATTTAGCAAATATGTCAAAATTTTATAAAATTTGTAAAGAAAATTAACATGTTTTTATTAGATCAATGGGGCATGTGCCCCCATTCCTACTAACTCGGGTCACATTGTCGTTCCATGGACTGACTACGTATGTTGTAAGACCGTGCATCTAGGGATTTATACAAGGTATTGTCTAATGAAAAGGTCTTCTAGAACGCCCAATGCCAACATTTTATTACCAAACAAGCTCTTCACTATGACCTAATAAGCCTCTTGTAAATTGGCCTGTATATATATATATATATATATGTATAAATTCCAGGGACGTCTCAAACTTTTTCGGAGCCCCTGTTCAGTTTATACAATTTAATTTAAAAATATTATTAAAATTATTTAGTAACAAAAATTATAAATTTATATAATAAATCAATTAATAATTATTATTTATTTGTTTTTAAATTTATTAATTTCTATAAAAATATTTAGTGATAAGAAATAAATTTGTAATATTTTTTATGTATTAATGATAATAATAATATTTTTTTAAACCCTATAAATATAACTGATTTTTTATTTTTAAAATAAAATTTTAATTTATTATTGATATATTACAATGTAATTTATTTTTATAAATTAATATGTATTTATTTTTGTTTAATAATTATACTTAAAATAGTTAATTTTATAATTATTAAATAATATTAATTATTTTTAAAAGTGAGTGAGACCCCAAAATTTAAGGGGCGTGTTCGTTTGCATATATTGAACCTGCTAATAGACGGCTGATGTAATACATTGTTGTGCCATGGACTGACTACGTATGTTACATGTAGGGGTTTATGTGTAGGGATTCACATATTCACAATAAACAATAATAAACGTGTGAATTAATAATATTTTTTTAAACTCTATAAATATAACTGATTTTTTATTTTTAAAATAAAATTTTAATTTATTATTGATATATTACAATGTAATTTATTTTTATAAATTAATATGTATTTATTTTTGTTTAATAATTATACTTAAAATAGTTAATTTTATAATTATTAAATAATATTAATTATTTTTAAAAGTGAGTGAGACCCCAAAATTTAAGGGGCGTGTTCGTTTGCATATATTGAACCTGCTAATAGACGGCTGATGTAATACATTGTTGTGCCATGGACTGACTACGTATGTTACATGTAGGGGTTTATGTGTAGGGATTCACATATTCACAATAAACAATAATAAACGTGTGAATTAGTCATGCATGGTTGGTCCCACTAGGGCTGGGCATTTAAATCTGTTACCGACGGGTAAGCGGATACCCAGTCTCGTGGGTATCCGAAAAACGGGTACTCGACACTTCACGAAGACGAAAACGAGTATTAAAAACTAGAATACCCGTCATATGGGTACGAGTTCGGGTTTTATATATTGAAATAACGGGTACCCGCGGGTACCCGCATATATATTAAAATTACAAAATTAACCTTATATTTTTAATATAATTTCTAAAATACTTAGGTTATTTTTACTTTCCTTTAGGATTATATATTGGATTTTCAAGTTTTGATAGATTCAACTTCAAATTATTGTGTATATTTTAAAATATTTCTAGGATTCTAGGCATATTATTAAATTTTAAGAATTTTTAAATTTAAAAATATATTTTTGGAATAAAATATGTATATTTTTATTGATTATTTGGTTTAATTTTATATTGTTTAATATTTTTTATACGGATACGGGTACTTGCGGGTACCCGTCTTTTAGTTATGGGTACCCGTTAGATGGATACCCGAATATTATGAGATAGATAACATTTCTCTGAAACCCGCGAAAACAAAAACGAAGACGGATATCTCCAAAAACGCGGGTACCCGACCCGTGTCCAACCCTAAGTCCCACAAACCCCCAAAGTATCCACAGCCTCGGTGGGTCCCACAAACACTCAAATCTCCTTTTTTTTTGTATTTGTCCACGGTGGGTCCCACAAACACCCAAACTCCTTTTTTTGAACGTGGGTCCCACAAATACCTCAGGGTCCCACAAACTTCCAGCCTTCGGTGGGTCCCACAAACCCCCCATGCAACCCACAATCTCCAAATATGCACCACTGCGGTTGGTCCCACCCGCCAGCCCTATATATACCCTCCTCTTCTTCGTTATCACTCACCACCACAAAGACAAATCTTCTTCTAGAGATTAAGTGATGGCAAGACCTGCCGTTTTTCTCCTTCTGTTTGCTCTCGTTTGCTTTGTTCCTCTCTGCCTCTTCATCCCAAGCTTTGTATGGAAACTTTACCCAGATTTTTATGATAATTCATGCCCCAAAGCCCAGGAGATCGTCAGGTCTGTTGTGGCTAAAGCCGTTGCAAGAGAAACCCGCATGGCCGTTTCCTTGATGAGGCTCCATTTCCTCGACTGTTTCGTTCAGGTCTCTCTCGTTCACCTCCTTTATCTTTCTTTCTTCTACCAATATTGTATATCTACTCATGCCTTTTTTTTTACATGAAGGGCTGTGATGGCTCGGTCTTGCTGGACAGCAGCGGGGATATCGTGAGCGAAAAGAACTCGAACTATAACAGAAGATCGGCTCGTGGGTTCGAAGTCATCGATGAGATCAAGTCGGCACTGGAGAAGGAATGCCCTTCCACTGTCTCTTGTGCCGACGCGTTGGCCCTAGCCGCAAGAGACTCTTCTGTTCTTGTAAGTACCTCTTTCTTTTTTTTGTTTGTTAAATTAAGTTCCTCTTTCTTGTTCACCATAAGATTCTTTAACACGTAAAATCATGTTCTTAATCTGCAAAAAAAAAAAAAAAAAAAAGGACCGGGGGACCAAGCTGGGGGGTCCCCTTAGGCAGAAGGGACCCGAGGGGAAAGTTCCTCTTTCTTGTTCACCATAAGATTCTTTAACACGTAAAATCATGTTCTTAATCTGAAAAAAAAAAAAAAAAAAAGGACCGGTGGACCAAGCTGGGAGGTCCCCTTAGGCAGAAGGGACTCGAGAGGAGCAAGCTTGAGATCCTCTAACGACAACATTCCTGCCCCAAACAACACTTTCCAGACCATTCTCTCTGCGTTTAACATCCACAGCCTCGATCTCACCGACCTCGTCGCTCTCTCTGGTAAACAAAAAGAAAACTCTCTGCCCTAACATGTTAGACATCGGAGTTAACTTGCGTCTCACGCTATACCTGGTGGCTCGAGCTTATTGACATCAATACCTTAAAACACTTTCTTGATCTGGTGGTTTCAGGGAGTCACACCATCGGTTTCTCTAGGTGCACAAGCTTCAGACAGCGACTGTTCAACCAATCCGGCATTAATGGACAGGCGAGCGAGACGCTGAACTCGTCGTACGCGGCCTGGCTGCGTCCACGGTGCCCAACAAGATCAGGCGGAGACCAGAACCTGTTCGCCTTGGACTTCATGTCTGCCTCGAAATTTGACAACAGCTACTTCAAGAACTTGATTAAGAACAAGGGTCTGTTGAATTCCGACCAAGTTCTCTTCTCCAGCAACCGGCAAGCTAGAGACCTTGTGGAGAAGTACGCCGAGGATCAAGACGAGTTCTTCGAGCAGTTCGCTAAATCGATGATCAAGATGGGTAACATCTCTCCATTGACGGGTTTCAGTGGTGAAGTCAGGAAGAACTGCCGTGATATCAACTATTGAATTCGCAACTTGGCATCAGTTTATGCGTGAAATCTATACTATATTTCATTTCTATGTTTTTTTTTTATAAATGGTGATGTCCGGTGGGTTTCGAACCGGGAAAGCATTTTGTGTTCCCACACTACCGCTTCCGGACATTTCTATTTCTATGTTAATGTAAAACGACATCTATTTAGATAAAATGACGACCACCGTGTGGTAAGAATACTTTTCTTGGAGCCCAGCTATTTTCTTTGTTTCTTTATATATTTTATTCAAAACATGTTGGTTATTGACATAATTATATTTCGACAGAACAAAATTCAAATTTATCTTCGCACTTTTAATGAATAAAATACAGGAGCATAATAGTAGTAGACTGGGTTGGAAACAAGTTATTTCTACCACCGTAATACCACAAGACTTTGCACATTACATTAAATATTTTCAAATACAGTAAATAAATAAAACAAAACTTTAAAATGAAAATCGTTTTTCTAATTACCATATTAAATTATCCGCGAATGTGGGCCGAACAATGAGTATCTCCTACGTTTGGGTCCAAATTTCGATAGGTTTGTTTTCATAACCAAATGCTACTCTCTATGGTCCAATATATGATTCATTAGATAATAACCCGTCGTGAATCGCACAGACTAAATATACAATGATTTTAAATAATTTTATTATTAATTTTAAACTTATATATGTACTATATTTTATTTTTATATTCATAATGTATATTATTATATCAAAATAATTTTTTAAATGTTTTAAGGAAAATATCGAGATAACACAATAATATCTTTTTTTAAAGAGGAAGTTGAACAATTTATGTGTTTTTTTATGTTATAATATAGAATCAATTATTAAAATGTAGAATATCAAAATAATGTTTTGATAGATTTTATTACTCGACCAAAGGGTTATTATTTTGTCAAATCGAGTGATATCTAAAAACTAAAAAAAAAAAATAAAAACAATGTGACTATCATAAGTTTAGAAAAATATAATTTTTAACAATAATACAAATTGAATTGGTGTTAGCAATAGAATAATAATGTATTTAATTTTTAAAATATTTCACAATAAAATACTGGTATGATACTAAATTTATATAATCTCATTATTTAATTTTATTTAAATTTTGGCAATATATAACATATTCAAGGAAAAATACTTAAATTGGGATGGATATTTAGTTTTGACTCGATAGTTTAAGCACGCGTTCTTGGCTTCTTATAATAGAAAAATAAATAAACAAAAAAATCAAATGTAACTACAAATTTTATTTAAATATATATATATTTTTCAAGAGATTACTAAAAGATGACCAAAAGGGTCTCTTTTCTTTTTCTTTCCTGCAAACTCCAAAAAATATTCCACCTTTAGAATTTTATATGCAAATATTCACTGAAATCTATTTTCAAATATTTTATAAGAGTTATAGAAAGTATTATATTAGATAATCTCTATAGAAACAACTTTTTGTATGTATGCATAATATTAACCCTTCGCAAATATTCTATATCCCAATATAAGATTTCACCAATTTGATATAAAAATAAGCTAAAATATATAATATTATGTGCGAGAATATAAATTCATCCTTAACCTACCATTTGCTGGCTCTTGTTCTTTCACAACCCGTGACTACAACTCAGATTTCCATCTGTACTATCGTGAGCCAAAACCTAGCCGCTGATCAGACGACGAAACTCGACTCTCGATTTACCTCGCTCGCTCTCTCACTTGAAACCAACTCAACACACGAACACGAAACAGAAAACGCAGAACGAAAAAGAATGAAAGAACACCGAAATTACGAGTTCGGATTCGATCAGTGTGATCGTCCTACGTCTCGGAGGAAAGAACGCCCTTGATTTATCACTGAGCACACACATACAAGTTTTACAAAACAATCACCCAATTACCCAAAACTTCCGAATGAGCAATAATGGCGGATTCTCGTCTTTTGAAGGAGAGGAGATGGGTCAACTGAGTCAACAACTACCAAGACCTGAAATGACACAAAAGCCCTTCCGTTATTATAACCAAACCTGCTTTAAACGTCGTCGTCTCCTTCTGCCTTCTAAAACCTTTAACTCGTTTGAAGTTCTAACTGTTTGAAGTTCTATTGAGCATATCTCACAAAACTCCACCTTGCTCTAAACTTCAGCCTGCTCAGTTGCTCCCTTGGTTCTTTCCTCAGACTGAATGCTCAATCTACTTAGTCAATTTCAGCAAGTTCAGGATTTTCTTGAACTTACTGACAGGCAACGTTTTGGTCAGTGCATCTGCTGGGTTTTCATCCGTGTGGATTTTCAGTACTTTCACCGATCCTTGAGCTATCAAATCTCTGATGAAGTGCATCCTTGCGTCGATATGCTTCGTCCTTTCGTGATGTACATTGTTCTTTGACAGGCTGATCGCGCTCTGAGAATCACAGTAGATCTCCACAGCATTCTGATCAAAGCCAAACTCTTGTAACAGACCCTTCAGCCAGACCCCTTCTTTAACTGCCTCGGTGAGTGACATATATTCTGCTTCCGTAGTTGAGAGTGCCACGACATGTTGTAGACTTGATTTCCAGCTTACAACATTTCCTCCAACCATAAAAACAAATCCAGAAACTGACCTTCTCTTATCCAAATCTGCTGCGTAATCAGAATCGCAAAACCCCTTTACTGTGAAGTTCAAACCTTGGACATAGTTGAGCTTAAGTCTCTGAGTTCCCTTGAGATATCTGAACACCCACTTTACTGCGTCCCAATGGTCTTTTCCCGGTCTACTCATGAATCTGCTGATCACTCCCACTGGATGAGCTAAATCTGGTCGAGTACCTATCATTGATTACATGATACTGCCCACTGCACTTGAGTATGGAACCATTTCCTTGAATGTTTCCCCTTCCTCTTCTGCCTGTGAGGTAGAACTCAGTTTAAAATGAGCTCCTAAAGGTGTACTCACCACCTTAGATTTATCCATGCCAAAAGTAGCCAAAACTTTCTGCAAATAATCTTCCTGAGACAGAGTCAATCTGTTTCTTAGTCTGTCACGTCGAATGCTCATTCCCAGGATCTTGTTTGCAGGTCCCAAATCCTTCATATCAAACTCAGCACTTAACATCTTCTTTAAATCATCAATGTGTGTCTTCTCTTTTGCTGCTATTAATATGTCGTCGACATATATGAGTAGATAAACCTGTGAATTATCTGCAAGTCTTCTGAAATAAACGCACGAGTCAAAATTACTTCTGTGAAAAGCCTTACTCTGCATAAACACGTCAAACCTCTGATTCCACTGTCGAGGAGACTGTTTCAAACCATACAGAGACCGTTTCAGCAAACAAACCCAGTCTTCTCGGCCTTCTTCTTCAAACCCCTCTGGTTGCCTCATGTAAATCTGTTCTTCCAACGTTCCATGGAGGAAAGCAGTTTTAACATCCATTTGCTCTAATTCCAGGTCTTGGTAGGCCACTAGTGACAGCAAGACTCTGATAGAGACATGCTTTACCACAGGTGAAAAAATCTCGTGATAGTCAATCCCTTCTACTTGTGTAAACCCTTTGGCGACCAATCTGGCTTTGAATCTCGGCTTTTCAACTCCGGGTATACCAGGTTTCCTTTTCAGAACCCATCTGCATCCTATGACTCGATTCCTTTCTGGTTTCCTGACGAGAACCCATGTCTTGTTTTGTTTCAGTGACTTCATCTCATCTTCCATAGCTAGCTTCCATTTATTCCAGTCCTTTGATTTCCTGGATTCTTGATAAGATCTGGGTTCTTCAATCTCAATTTCTTGTGCTGATATAAAAGCAAACGCCACAGTCTTATCCTCGTTTTATCTTGATGGAGGTTTTATCTCCCTTCTGTTTCTGTCCCTCGCTAGGACATAGTCTCTGAGATCATCTTGCTCTGGAACTGAGACTTCATCATCCTGAGATTCTGAACCTGAGTTCTCTGCATTTCTGATCAGCTGTCTGGAATCATTTGTAGACTCTACTGTATTCTCCCCTTCTGATTCTGACGAGCTTATCTGTTCTTCTTGCATAGCTCCACCTTGATCTGCAGATTTTTTTTGTTTCTTTGCCATTTGTGTGATAAATGGTAAAGAGACTCGTTCCTCATTAGATACTGACCCGACTGTGTCTTTCTTTTTCTCAGTACTCAGATCTTTAAATAAGATCTCCTCATTGAATTTTACATCCCTGCTTATGACACATTTTCTTTCTTCTAGGAGCCAAACCTTGTATCCTTTGATTCCTGGAGGATATCCAATGAAGATACCCTTCTTGGCTCTAGGTAACAGCTTTCCTTGATCAACATGTATATAGGCAACACAGCCAAACCTTTTCAGGTGAATGTAGCTTGGTTCAGCTCCTGACCATTTCTTTTCTGGAATATCCATGTCTATGGCAGTGGATGGTGACCTATTTATCAGGTAGACACTTGTTGCGGCTGCTTCTGCCCAGAAGATTTGTGATAATCCTGATTCACTGAGCATACTCCTTACTTTTTCCATGATGGTTCTATTCATGCGCTCTGCAACTCCGTTCTGTTGGGGTGTATAGGCGCAAGTCCTGTGTCTCTTGATGCCTTGATCTTTACAGACTGTCTCAAACCTCTGGTTACAGAATTCCAGTCCATTGTCCGTTCTGAGGACCTTGATTTTCTTCCCTTGCTGATTCTCGACAAGTTTCTTCCACTCCATGAATTTGTCAAACGCCTCATCCTTGGTTTTTAGGAAGTAAATCCATGTCTTTCTAGAGAAATCATCTATGAAAGATATGAAATACTGGCATTTTGACATAGAATTCGGAGTATTGGGAGAGCCCCAAAGATCTGAATGAATGTAGTCTAGAATGCCTTTGGTTGTGTGTTTGCCCATGGAGAAAGAAAGTTTATGAGTCTTACCAAACACACAACTTTCGCAGAAGTTAAGCGTAGAAATTTTGGCTCCCTGAAGCAACCCTTTCTTGACCAATATATCCAAAGATTTCTGACTCACATGTCCAAGACGACTGTGCCACAGAAAAGTCTGATCTTCTTG